AAGGTGGAAGAGGGACGACCTCCGTGCAGGGCTGTCCCCTTATTTCCCTTCCTGGCAGATGGCACCAGTCCTGTGACCTGTGGTCCCTGGCAGGTGGCAGAGGTCTCTGCCAGCCCATGAGGTACCCTTCGGCCTTGCCCACCCCCCTTCCAACCAAGGCTTGCACCTGCCATGGACGGGTGGGAGGGGGTGCCCCCCCCCATACTTGGCTTCCTGCCTGCGCCTGATTTTTCTTCGGGCGAAAGGAAGGTGTTGCTGCGTTGTTTTGTGCCACTGGGTGCCGGCCTCTCCTCTTCTGTCTCCTACAGCCTGTTCCCTGTCTCATCCGCGCTGTGGGCTCTAGGTGTTTGACAGAGGACAAAGCACTGGTCCGGAACCTCGGCTCTGACTTTGACCAGCTGGGGGACCTTGGGCAGTTGACTTAACTTCTCTGTGCCTATTTCCTCCTTGACAAAGTGGCAGTTAAGGTAGGGTTCTTGGGAGGATTAAATGGGCTACGGATGTCCGGTGCCCAGTGGGCACCTGGCACATGGTAGGTGCTCAGTATATCGAGGGTAGGCACTACTAGCCCATTTCCCAGAGGCATGCACTGAGGTCAGATCAGTCATGACTGGGAAGTCTCTGTCCCAAGTCTGCTCTACTCAGGATCGGCACGGCAGCTTCCTGTAGTGCATCTTGAGCTTATTGTGGGGGGGGGGGGGGGGGGGAAGACTCAGGATGATCAGGAAAAATAGGGGAAGCATATGACTCAGATCCTCTCCCCCTCACTTCAGGGACCCCTGGGCTGTCTTGGGCCTTCAGGCCAGCAGCTGGCAAGGAGCCTAGAAGGCAGTCCTGGCAGGTGGGGCTGAACTGCACAAGGCCACGGCTGTGAAGGCGTCTCTAACACACACCCCTCCAGACCTTTGGGGTCCCCCAGCCACTGTGCTGTTTTGACTTTTGTTCCTAACGCTTATGCTGTCAGGTCATGAAATCAACTGTCGTTTCTTGAGCACCTGCTATGTGCTAAATAACAGAAATGACATCTAATTCCCCCCACCGTCCCTCTGGGAGGCAGGCAGCCCCTGTGTTATCTATCACTCCCATTTTGCAGAACTGAGGCTGGGAGACATTCCGTCACTTTGCTAAGATCTCCCAGCTGGGGAAAGTGTCCAGGACTCAGTGCCCAGCCCCACCCTGCTGCAAGGAGGCTGAGAGATGGAGTCCGGCTGGAGACCAGGAGGGAGAGGGAAACAGGCCCCAGGAACAGCAACCAGGTCCTGCCGGAGAGAGGAATCCTGAGCCTTCTGTCCAGCAACCTCTGGGATGAGATGGGCCCTCAAACTGGAACTTCTCTTGTTTTTAAAAATATGTGTTTTACACATTACAACACAGATGAGCCTGGGAGACATGATGTTGAGTGAAAGAAGCCAGACACAAAGGGCCTGGAATGTTGTAGATTCCATTCATCTGAACCATCCGGAACAGGCAAACAGAGACACAGCGGAGCTTGCCGATGCCGGGGGCTGGGGAGGGGAGTGGAGAATGACTGCTAGTGGGCGTGGGGTTTCTTCTAGGGGAGGTGAGAATGTTCTTTTATTTTATAAAGTTTTTTTAAACATATGTTTTTATTGATTTCACAGAGAGAAAGGGAGAGAGAGAGAGAGAAACATTAAAGATGAGAGAGAATCATCGCTCGGCTGCCTCCTGCCTGCCCCCTACTGGGGATGGAGCCTGCAGCCCAGGCATGTGCCCTGACAGGACCTTGACTTCCTGGTTCATAGGTCAGTGCTCAACCACTGAGCCACACTGGCTGGGCTGATGAAAATGTTGTAACATGGAGTCTGGTTTGGTTACACAGCTCCACAAATCTATCAAAAGCCATTGAATTGTACACTTTACTGTATATGAGTGAATTGTATGGTATGTGAATTATATCTCAATAAAACAATTTTAAAAAACACACAATAGAGCAGAAGTCCTCAGTGGGATCTTGTGGACTAATGCAGTTAATAAAATCAAACAGCACTGAAAACAACACGGCGTCCCCTTTGGAGCAGGGCACGGTGTCCGCCTTCTCCCCCACGCCACCCTCTCCCCGAACCTGCCCTGAGTGGTGCTCAGAGACCCGTATTCCCTGGAGAAAGTGTCACCCCTCGAGAGCTCATTAGGGTGCCCAGGAGTGGGCTGCTGTCCCCCTTTATGCGCTTTGTCCTTTTCTCATTAACTGACTTGCTTTAAACGTAATGGCCCCAGTCCCGGGACATAAAGGAAACAATAGCCTTTATCCAGCCCGGACTGTGGGACCTCATGAGCTCCGAGATGCTGCCGCTTTAGGGGTGGGGTGGGGGATGGATGTCCCAGGCCTGGTCCTAATAGTATTTTAAATGATGCCTGACCCCAACTGTGGCCCTGGTAGCGAGAAGGCACGATGAATGTGTTGGTCCACGGGCCTGCTTTTTATTAGCGAGGAATGGTAAGTTCGGCTCTGCAGGATGAGCAAAGGCGGCTCTCGGCCTCCGCCTGGTCTGTCGGAGAGCCTGTGCCTCCACCTAAAACGAGGCTGTCATGCGCTAATCCGTATTCACAGCACTTCCTGTGTCTGGCAGCCTCGCCCATCCATTAGCATTGACCAGCGGGAAGAGCTAGAACAGAGGAGGGACTGGCAGTGGTGCCCTTATGTTTGTGGCATGTGGCTTGGCACACAGTGTGCTAGGGAGCATTGACAGCTGGGCAGGTACGATTCTAGAGCCTCGCGGGTTGTATGAGTTATCCACTGCTGCGTAACAAACGAATACAGATTCAGCTGCTTCCAACCCATTATTTATCCTCACACGGCTCTGCGGGTCCTCTGCTCAGGCTGCACGTCCAGGTGTGTCCCGGCTGCACGCCCACCTGCCTGACCCACCTGCAGGTTCATTCGTGTTGTTGGCAGAATTCATTCATCTCTGTGACTGAGGGCTGCAATGAACATTCAGGATTTTGTGTGGACACACGTGTTTGGTTCTCTTACATATCTGCCTGGGAGTGGAATTGTGGGGTCCTATGCTAACTCCAGCTTTGATCTTTTTGAGCAATTTCCAGGCACTTCGACGCCATTTTACCATCCCACCAGCAGGGCAGGAGGGGGTTGCTCTGACATGATTTTGATTAGTTGCCAACACTTAATAATCATGAGAGTGCAGCTTTTAAAAATAGATGCCCGGTTTCCTCTTGAAAAATCAGATCTGGCAAGATGAGGCTCGAGTCCCTCCGTGCAACCACCCCACTGGTGCTGAGAGGGGCTGCCTGCATTCTCACCCACCCAGTGCCTGGTTTATGGCTTAACCCTCCTGGCCCCCAGCAGGATGTGTGCTTGAATCTCTTGTCCCTCCATATCCCACTCCTTTCAAACCTGCTCCCCTTGAAGGCCTAGTTCACATTCTGCCTGCTCCAGGAAGCCTGCCTGGATTTCCCCAGCCCTGTGGAGTCTTTCATTCCGAAACCCCTGCAGAGCTTGTCCTCTGCATCCCTTCACCTGCTGTTCTCGAATTAAAAGCTGTGCACCTCCCTCCCCTGATTGCATTGCAAGAGCCAAGTTCTCTCCCAACTACTTGGGTTCAAATCCCAAATATTCCCTGGAGCTGGCAGGCCGGGTCATCCTATGACTAATGGCGAACATAGCAGCCCTGACAGTTTCCCAAGAAGATTAGGGCAAGGTTGCAAGAGCGGCTGAACCCTGCCAGGGTGGGATCTGCAGCGGGCTCCAGGGTCCCTGCCATGTTGACGCCCCCTCCCTGGGTCCCCAGCAAGCCAGTGAGTGAATGAATGAATGACGTGTGCTGGGCCAAGGTGCTGCCTCCTCCTGGCTCCAGCCTAAGCCGCCAGCACGCCTGTGGGATTTGCGGGGGCTGCGGTCTGGGCTGTGTCACCATATGGATCTCATAAATTAAAGCGTTCCCGGAAACGAACGGTAAATTTATCCGTCTCTCGCACATAGGGCTGCTGGGGCCTGTGCTCACCCAAGGAATTCTGAGCCATCCATCTCTCTTAGGCTCTCTGGTTTTATAGCCCTAATCCCTGAAAAAAAAAAACAGATCAACGTGAAGCTGCTTTTCTGCAGCCCTGCTGGCCCTGGGGCGTATAATCAGGAAATGGGGGTTGCCGGTCCCCGGGACTGGCCCCGAGGTAGCTGTAATTGGTTATTCAGGCCCTGAAACCCACCAGGGGCTTAGTTCACCCCTCCTGCCCAGGCCTCTGAGGTCGGAGGGGAGAGCCCCGAATCTGAAGCCCTGCTGACCTGGGCTCACCCCGTCATGGCATCCTCAGGCTTCCACCGCCCCCTCTCTGAGCCTCCGTTTCCCCGGGTGTGAAAAAGGGATGGGGCGACCAGGAGAGTCAAAGTTAAAAAGACAGAAAGTACAACAGTGGTCGCGGGGGGCTGAGGGAGGGAAGTAGGGAGCTAGTGTTTAATAGGGACAGAGTTTCCATTTGGGGTAAAGAGAAAGTTCTGGAATAGGATGATGGTGATGATGGTTGCTCAACACTGTGAATGAACTTAATGCCACTGAACTATACACTTAAAAATGGCCAAGATGGTATATTTTGTGTTACGTCTATTTTCCCACAATTGTTAAAATGCGGGAAAAGGGTTGGGGGCGAAGGGGACAGGATGGCTACCCCGCTGGGCGAGCTGAAGGTGGGTAGGTTTATCTTTATAGCTGTAGCTACCTAGTAGGCAGTGATTGCCAGCTTCATGCAGAGCCACGTGGGCGCGGGTAGTGCCGGGGCCTGTAGATGGAACCAGTGCCCAGCGGTCGGCCTGGTGCTCCCGGGCAGGGTTTGCTGCGAGGGGAAGACATTGCACTGGCTTTGCCGGGAACCAAGGCCTCCACTGCCCGTCGCCAGCCAGGCCATCCTGCCTGCAAAGGCCTGGCCATCGTGAGGGAGGAAGGTGTTCAACAGCCCGCGGGTCCCACCCATGGGGCACCTCCAGGCAGGTATGGCCAAGACTCACCATGTCTACCCTCCTGTCATTCCAGGTCACCTCTGCATCTCTTGAGGCACCAGCAGCCACCCACCCTCCTGCCCGGGAGCCCGAGCCCTGGCTGGGGACCCCAGCGGAGAGCCTGCTCAGAGGCCCCAAGACCGCCCAGGAGCTGGGGCCAGCCCGGTGTCAGCAGAGCAGCCTGGACGGGGCCGGACCAGACCTCGCCGGCACAGGTAGATGCCAGCTCTTTGTCTCTCTAGGGCTTGGAGTGGATTGTGCTGCCTTGTCAGGGAGGGGGCCCAAAGCCAGTTCTGGCTCAGAGTTCCACCCCGTGAGCGCCGCATTCTGGCTGAGAGCCTGGGGGCAGAGTCTCCCGGACTTGAGTTTGGATGTTTTTGTTTTTATCATCCTCGGGGATTAAACCAAATTGTGATTTAATCAGAATCCCTGCTTCTCGACACCCGCTCATCCTTGATTCACAGACAGCCTTTGTTTGTTGTGCTGTACTTATTTATCTCTATGTTTTATTATACGCACTCAATCATTTTAAAAATTAATGTAATGGATACCCATGAACCTGATACCCAGCCCAGGCATTAGACGGCCCATCGGCCTTGATGCTCATGCATCCTGCCCGCCCCCCGCCGGAAGCACCATCTCAAGTTTGCTGTGTTTGTCTAACCATCCTACGGCGTAGCTTTGCTGGAGGTTTGAATTCTGTGTCCCAGGGGCAGGCCCCCTCACTTGGTGTTCCAAGGTGCGTCTGTGAATGTCGCAAGCTGCCGCGCCGTTTCACTGCCATATACCGTTCCGTGTTGTACTGCTTGGCTCGTGTGCCCACTCTCTCGCCGCCGATGGCACAGGGGTCATTCCTGGGTTTTTCGGTTGTGAATGCGCCATGTCCCGCACAGTCTCTCACAGGAGTTACCTCAGCTGGGCCAGGTGGGGTGAGGACATTATCTTTAGGAAGATAATGCCCACTGGTTTCTGCTGTGGGCATTTCACTCCCACGCTGCCAGCCACGGAGACCCTGTCTGCCCCTCTGGGCACCGTCGGAATCCTCCGTGTCCCGATGACAGAGGCCGGCCCCTCCTTGGCTGATGGCCTGTGCGTGTGGATCCTGCGGCATTGGTTGTGGGGCCTGTGGGCCCTGGGCTGGGCAGTGAGTGGATCCCAGGTGGGGCCCTTTAGCTGGACTCCAGCCTGTGGTGGACACCCCCGTTCCTACCCAGGAAGGTCCCTTGGGCCATATTCCTGTCAGTTGAGGGGGTTCCCGTGTGTGTCCTGCCTTGTTGCCCCTGAGAGGACTGAGTCCCGAGACCCCAGCCTGCCTTCCTGTGCTGGCCCACTGTGCGGACAGCTGGCTGGAAGCTCGGCTTGTTTGCGGAGTGAGCCAGAGCTGGGAGGAGTCCGGGAGCAGGTAAGAGCAGCGGGGGAGGGGTGTTGAGGCAGCTGGCCTGCCCTGTTCTCCTGTCATCTGGGGCTTCCATCTGGGGCATTCATCTCCAAGGCAACCCCAGTACCACCTCTTTCTCTCTGTGATGTGGACTCAGCTAGGAAAGGGGCTGGGCTTCGGGCCAGGGACAGACCCTGCTGACCAGGAGCTTATGGGCAGATGGGGATGAGGTGG